GCAGCCTTACGAAGAGCTTCCTCCCGCGGCTAGGGAAATGCCACGAGCTATGGCGAACTACTTGTACAGTTATTGGAACGATTATATCTGTAATCAATCCTTTGACTATAGGAAGAGAAAAGGGAAGAGGCTGCCAATGTATAATACCGTGGAGTATGCTTTGCCCTATATCAATGAGTATATTGCTTGGTCTATGCTTCTCCTTTTAATGTGCTCTGCTAATCATTACTATCCCACAGGCCTGCCAGCTTTTCATTGGATCTATCGTCACGACCGTCCTCCGTTGAGTGGTTTGCTCCATATCTCGGCCCAACAGATGAGTTCCCCAAACGTCCGCATTTTCTTTGCTTCGTGGTCACATGTCACAACGGTGAAGAAGACAAGATCACCTGCGGAGAACTGCTTTGCATCCTTCGCATGCTGTTTAAATTCCATGAAGTCTTCTTCCTCAGAAAACATGACACTTTCCCGGTATGCTATGATATGGTCACGGCAACGTTACCTTCAAGCAAGAGCCGTCGCTGACATACTACGTACTTTGCTAGATCTTGCTTATCTCCTTTATGGGGCCACGCCATATGCGGATGCTTCATGTTCACAATGAAGGCAAGCGGGTGATCATCCGTAAAACGAAGCTCTATGATTTCACCAAGGAGAGGAACCTGGAGGCTCTGTTTCTGACGTCACAGTGGGCTTTTTCAACGCCAATCAGCGTTGATGATGCAAGCCCGCACGCAGCTGCGTCGTCCCCAGATTCACCATCATCTCCCTCCCATGCAGATACGGCATAAGCTTTTTACCTTTCGACATGTTTAGTTCTAAAAGTGGCCGCCGGGTAGGCACATGCTCGTTCAACTTGTCGTGTCCAGTTATGACGTCATTCTTTGTGGCTTCCCTCTCGTTCTATATTTCATTGTACCTTATCACGTGTTACAGATAATTGAAAATTGACAAAAATTTACGCCCGTATAGCTCAGTGGTAGAGCGCATCACTCGTACTCCATCGTCATGATGAGGTCCTCGGTTCGATCCCGAGTGTGGGCAATTTTTTTTGCATTGCTTTTGCATACACTCATTCAATCTGTGACCTACTGCGACCTATTGCCGCGTTGATGACGCAGGCAAAACTCCTTTCTTGTACGTAGTACACAACATTTATTAGCGATGAATTGCGAGGTGTTTTGGAAAAGAGTGGTCAAGCCCCTGATGAATGTGATGAAGGGAACGATAGCCTTCTGATCAGAGGATGGATGTTATATCGTAAGATGGGTAGGGGACGGATATGGGAAAACCCTTTGTGTCTCAATACTCCATTGAGGCGGTGAAGATTCGTCGCAACTCCTCCTTCTCAGCATCTAGCTCTTTGGCCAGATTAGGTGCCAGGTTTAGAACACGCTGCTGGGGGATGGTTCCATCAACGAGTTCGTCAATCTGGCTATCCTTGAACCCTAAAGCCTTCAAGCCACGGGGCTGGTCCCCAAGCCTGAGCAGGAACTCCGTGATGGCCTCTTTCAGTACTTGTCCAGCGTTTTCCTTTTTGACGTTCGTAATGTCCACGCCAAAAGCCTCGGCTGCAGCCAAGTGCCTCTCCGGGTTGCTTGCTGCTGTGAATGCAAAGACAGCCGGAGCAGTAACCGCTACCGAGACACCGTGGGGTATCAAAGGATGCTCAACCTCATAGCCTGCATGCTTGTATCCTGGATTGCGTCCAGAGATAGGATAACTCATCCCGTGACACAAGTGCACGCCTGCGTTTCCGAAGCCAACACCAGCAAGTGTTGCAGCCAGAAGCATTTGCTCTTGTGCCTCGAAATCCTCTGGATCCTTGACCGCACGGGGTAAGTACTTAGCGGTACTCTTGAGCGCTTGAAGCGAAAAGATGTCAGAGATTGGGTTAGCACCCTGATATGCCGGACGGTTGATAGGATTTGTAGGTCGAGGGGTTCGCTCGTTGTAGGGGATCGCCGTCCACGATTCGAGAGAGTGAAAGAGGACATCAAGACCGGAGGAAGAGTGGACGGCAGAAGGCATTGTTCTGGTGTTC